ACAGGTGTAAAGACATGAGGGATAAAGTAGATGCTCTACAGAGGTATAAAATCATCATAATTCACATGTGTTAATAACTAAAGGAAAATGTTGTTACCTTGAAAATAGAGAGATAGTGGTACCATTCCCAATGTAGGGGATCCAGGGAAGAGGAGTGACTAGGAGCATCACAAGAAAATATTAGCCTGATGGAAACAGGACTTGTGAGAATTTGTTTGGTGGATGTTCCACTATCTTCCAAACCTTACAGTCTCAATCCACTGGGCACATGGTAGGTGAGAGAGAGGTGGCATTCTGAAGACACGATGGATGGTGAATTGGAAGCAGATGTGGTAATCAGTAGAGGGGTCTGCAGTAGCTTCAGAGAAGGCAGAGCAGCTAAACAGCAAAAGCATCAAAAGTATCATGTATTGTGTGACAGAAATTTTTCATTAAATTTTTCCTCTGGGAAACTTCAGAAATTTATCTAAGGGGAAACAGGATCTTGCTGTAGTCCTAACTACAATAGCAGGTTCGATGAAGGCTAAGAAAATGTCATAGTTATTGTCAATATAACTTCTTAATAAACGTCATGTTATATTGACTTAAGATAAAATACTATAAATATATCATCTTGGGCTGTTTGGGGTGTAACATCTTGGCAGAGACTTGATTTCATTCAGTTTAGTCCCTGTGCTGGATAGCTTTAGTGTCAACTTGACACATGGGTTGAGGGAGCCTCAACTGGGGAATTTCCTCCATAGGACTGGCCTTATCTTCTTGATTGTTGAGTGATGTGGGAGGGTCCATACCACTGTGGGTGGTGCCACCCCTGAGCAGGTGGGCCTGTGTTGCATAAGAAAGAAGGCTGAGCAGGGGCCAGGGGAGCAAGCCAATAAGCAGTGATCTTCCATGGCCTGTGCTCCAGCTCCTGCCTCCAGGTTCCTGCCCTGAGTTCCTACCTTGGGCTCCCTGATGAATTGTGACCCAGGAAATGTAAGACAAATAAACCCTTTCCTCTCCAAGTTGGTAGTGGTCAGAGTGCTTTGTCACAACAATGGAGAAACAAACTAGGACAGAAATTGGTACCAGAGAGTGGGGCACTGCTGTGACAGACCTGACATTGGTGTTTTGGGGAGGACTGTGGAAGTGTTTGGAACTTTGGGCTGGAAAAGCCATTGAGTGCTTAGAGTTTGTTGCTGTGGAGCTTGGAAATGTATGCTAAAAGAGTTGTGAACAATGGAGGCCTGGCTTGTTAAACTTCAAAGGGAAGCAGATACTATCATGGCTATTTATGTGATATTTTGAATTGAGAATCTGTGGGTTCTGGTTGGCTGGGGCTGAAAAATCAGCTGTGATTAAGAAGAGACCAGAACCTGAAGTAAAACCTTTGTCCTACTGAGACAATTGATGCTGGCTAGCTGGGGCTGAAAAATCAGTTGTAAGTGACAAGAGACCAGCATCCCTGTGTTGAAGTCTTCTGGGAGGTATTTCCTTAGGGTCAGCACACAGAGGGGACCTGAGCCTCTGTTTCAAGCTGGAAGAAGGACTTGGTAATGTGTAAGAGTCTCCTGAATGATTCTGGTGTTGAAAGCATGAAGGGGTCACAGAGAGCAGCTGAGGCTTGGCACTCTGAGAGGCCAGGAAAGGCCACAGGGGAAAGTGCAGCTTCAGTTGCAGTGAAGACCCCAGTATTGAAGGGGTCATGGAGAGAATCCGAGGCTTTGCACTGCAAGGGTCAAGAAGAGGCCATTGGTGAAGGTGTAGCCTCAGTTTCAGTGGAGACCCCAACTTTTTGGAGATGCTGGGTCCATGGGACAACCACCAAGGACAGCAGTAGGTGTGGAATGGAGCTGGCCTGGGTCTGTAAGATGAGCTGTGTGTGCTGTGGACTGCAGAGTCAGAGAATTAGAGCTGCCAGAACCCTTTAGAGCCCAGAAGATTGTAAGTGAATCCCAGATGTCCAGCCTTGAGCTACTTTGCTAGACTTTGGTTTTGCTCAAGTGTGCTCGATTCTTCCCTTTGAAGTAAGACAGTACTTGTGACTTTTACAGGAGCCCACCCACAGTTAAGAGATTTTTAAAAGAGTCTATGGACTTTTAAGTGTTTGGATTTTTTAAGGACTGTGGGGCTTTTAAGGTTATACTATCTTATGTTGTGATATTAATGTTAACATCATACCCTGGGGATAAGAATTGGAAAGGTTATTGTTTAATAGTGATGTGTTTGTGTGTCAAGTTGACAAGGGGTCAATTGTGCTGGATAGCTTTAGTGTCAACTTGACACACCTGGGTTGAAGGAGCCTCATTTGGGGAATTGCCTCCATAGGACTGGCCTGTGGCCAGGTCTGTGGGGCATCTTCTTGATTGTTGAGTGATGTGGGAGGGCCCAGCCCAGTGTGGGTGGTGCCACCCCTAGGCAAGTGGGCCTGTGTTACATAAGAAAGCAGGTTGAGCAGAGGCTAGAGAGCAAGTCAGTAAGCAGCGATCCTCCATGGCCTGTGCTCCAACTCCTGCCTCCAAGTTCCTGCCGTGAGTTTCTACCTTGGGCTCCCTGATGAGCTGTGACCCAGGAGATATAAGAAAAATAAACCCTTTCCTCTCAAAGCTGGTAGTGGTCAGAGTGTTTTGTCATAGCAATGGAGAAACAAACTAGGACAGCCCCTTTCATTTCTGGGTCAGGAAACACAGGTCTACCAACATTATCACCCACTAATATGTATGAGGAAAGTATAACTGAAAATCAGTAAACAGGACGTGTGTGTGGCAAAGGGAAGAAACACACTGTGCAGTTCCCAGCTAGATTTGTACACCCTTTGGTCTGTTGAGTACATCCTGTGACTATTCTCAGAAATGGGTGGGGGGGGAGAGATTGAGAGAGAGAGAGAGAGAGAGAGAGAGAGAGAGAGAGCATATAAAGAGTTAGTGTGTGTGTGTGTGTGTGTGTGTGTGTGTGTGTGTGTGAGAGAGAGAGAGAGAGAGAGAGAGAGAGAGGCAAGAGGTTTCTGATGGTACCTGGGAGATAGGTGTACTGGTGCGTTGGTCTGTTGAAGGGAGGGCAGTGGGATGGAGTCATGACTGACATGTGCTGATGGGATAGGAAGGTGAGGGACTTTACAGAAACAGCTCCCACTGTGTTTGGCGTAGTTAAAGAAGAGTTCATAAGAAAGCAGTCTTGAGACTCTTCTAGATTCTTCTAGATCCAAGTGAGCTTGTTCTCAGGTTTATAGGTCATGTCAACGCTCGACCCACTCTTTTAGTAATTCAGCCAAGTTTTAAACCTCTTTTAGTTAAGTCCTCTATGAAGACTAGATTCTTCCGTATGTATGTGTCACAGTGCAGTAAGAGAGAGAAGTGAAGCCGAGGGCTTGCTGTGAGGAAGGGGAGCCTAAGCTGCTGGATGACCCAGTGTGAAAATCAAACACATGCTTAGTGCAGCAGTGAAACAGATACTGAAACAGCACTCCTCCGAAGGCTCCTCTCCTAGTCTGCTCGGCAGAGACATGGGCCGCCTGGATGCTCTGTGGCACAATGCCTGGATCCACTGTGTTCAGGTCCCTCAGCATCAGTGCGTCTGACACTAGGGATTAGACAGATTTTTGTTATGGAGGGTTGTCCATTGCATTGCACAATGTCTTCCAGGAGCTGACCTTATTCCTGGAGTCAACTTCTATAAACTAGGAGCATCACAACAAAATGTCTCCAGGAAATGCTAAATGTTTCCTGCAGACCAAACTCACTCACATTTGAGAACCACTGCATCACAGCAATGACCTCACATTGCAGAGGTAGGATGGACACCAGGTGGTCAGCATTCTAATGCTTGAGGAGTGTAAGCTCAATTCTGGATGGTCAGCTCATAGGGAGACCCTTGTAATAATGGTGGGGTGTTACTGTCTAGGATACAGTAGATATGCTGAAACGGTAACTTCAATGTGGCGTTCTGTGCCCAGCAGGAAGAATTCCTTGGGAACCAAGAGGAAATCATTCCTTTTTCAGTTTTCCCTCAGGCAAAGCTGAACCCTAAAATAAGCTATGCCCAGACACTTATGGGGCAGTGAATCTGTGTGGAGCATGCCAGGTAGCAATGGCAGCCTTGAGATGCGCCTCAGAGAGAAACTTGCCACTGATCTCAGAGGAATGCAGTTAGCTTTCAGGACCCACCTCAGCTTCAAGATGAATCCCTGCTCTTCCTAGGAAGCTGACAGCCTGAGGTTGGGTACAGCAGAGACACTAGTGTCTCTCCATGTAGGTCTCGGTTACTGGCCGTTCTTCACCTTGGAGGGCCTTGTTGAACTGTCATGGGCTTTGTGTGCTCTCTTGTCCCTCTATTTTCCCTTCATAGGAACACGGCATCACAGTTCAAAGTTTTCTTTGCCCCATTCTGTCTTCCCCCCCATCTGTCCTTCACAGACATCCTCCCCTAGTGAACCTGCGACTCTCCTATCTCTGCATGTGCTTCCCAGAGCACCTGACACAGCAGTATTCTTGTCCCACTCAGAAGACTTAAAGAAATACTGCAACGTGTATTAGACCCTAGCTCTAAGAGGATGCCTGTTGCTTATCCCATACACTACCCCCCCAACCTTGCCCCCAACCAGGCATCACCTGCTCAGTCAGGGGCAGCCCATTAGGATGTGTTCCTGCCCTCAAACAGAAGGGAAGTTAGGGGAAGAGGCAAAACTCTCTCCCAGACTAGAATCCTCCCCTGTTCCTGGTGATAAGATTGTTTGTAGTCGTCTGTCCTTGCTGTAGTGAAATGTTCAGAGTAGAAGAATTCTGACCTGGCAGAGGCCGGATATTCAATGACTGTCACCCACATGAAGACCCTCGGGCATCGCAGATGTGAAAACCTCACCTTGGTCAAAGTATCTAGACATCTCAATTACTTCTTCATAGAATTAAGACACTTTCTCTAAACCAGAAGAATTGACATTAAGAGAGTGTGAATTCATGGTTAATTTCAAATTTCATCTTTATTATTTGATTCAACTCAAAATATTTCATACACATTTTCGAGCAGGTACTGTGTTAAGAAGCATGTGGCACTCAAAGGCAGTAGGATCATTGTATAGCCTATTGGCTAAGAACAAGGTAGCATCACAAGTGTTAGTGGTGACAGCCCTTTCTCATAAAATATGTTAATCCTGATGATAACTAATACTATCAGGGTAAAAATATAGATGACATAGATCCCATCTTCAAAGCACATACAAAGTTGCTGTTATTAAAAACACCTGGCTTTCTATTCACCTTGGAGAAGGCTCCACATTGCCCACCTCAAGCAACTTCCGGTAGATCTGCTTAGCCATGCACACAACACCACCACCTTGAAACCAATAAGCAAGTTTCATGTCATTGAAGCTGAGACAAAAGACAGAGTGGAGTCGGAATGTTGCTCCACGTCCACTTTCTGGTAGACCCAGAATCATACTGGGCTTGCACCTCTCTGTATGCTTCTGGATCCTCTGGTTTTCAAGGCACTGTCTATAGTGTGACACTCTGCAGGCCCGAGCCTTGGTCACAGTGTCAGTTCTGGCTTCATCCTACCTTCATTGGTGAAGTGATGATTCTGGAGATTTGACTTTGACCCTTGATATCAGTTTGATATTTACATTCATCTAGCTTGTTCCCTCTCTCCTATATAATTCCCTACTAACTGGCTCTGCTTGACAATTATTTAGCTAAATAAACACTGTCAACATGGGTTTTGTTGTCAACATGGGTTGATGCACTTGCCTCTTGACTATCACAGCCAAAGACCTTCTGTGAGACGGCTCATCCTACCAGCCCTTCCACCTCCCCCACCTCTGCCTCTGTCTGGTATCAGGTGTCCCTATCTTGAAGAGATCCTAGACCTTTCAACTCCCTCCTTGATCTTATCTTTAACGTACCCTAGAATTTTGCTGGGATTGCTGACATACCCCCATGTACGGGAATGTTCGCATCCATCATGGCTCTTTACCAGATCGTTGGCTAATCTCAAAAGAGTTTTCACATCATTTTCCTGATCTAGATCATTACCTTTGTTGTTAAAAGCACAGGCTCTCTTCTGACACTTTTCGAGTATACTTTGAAGGGGCTTGTTCTTCACGTCTTCAATGTAATTTCTAAGGTTTCCATCCCCAAGATCTTCCCTCCGTGTAAAAAGCACAATTGCAGATTTCAAAATTTTGTTCCCAAAAAGGGATTCCAGTTGCTTCACTGCCATTTCATCTTGTTGAGTGAACCGTCCTAGCTGGACGACCAGGACAAAAATATTCATTCCTCCTGTACACAGGGAATTACAGCGTTCCACCTCCTCCTGAACCCAGGAAGAATGATTTTGAACCCCAGGCATCTGGAGGAATGATGGAGTGTCCACAACCACAATCTCCTGCCCATCCACGATCTTCCTGCCACTCTGGCATCTCTGGGTGACTGGCTGGGCTCGGAGTTGAGAGACGAAGGCAGGTCTCCCCAGGATAGTGTTCCCAGTCGCACTCTTTCCTGTCCCACTTCTTCCCACGAGGATGATGTTCAAAAGTTCTGTGCAGAGAGAGTTGGGAAAGATTCATGTCAATGAACTGATATGGAATTCATCTTTCCAAGGTTTTCATAGAACGAGCTTCGTCATTAGGCTCAGACAGCATCAAGGCCTCCCACTGACGAGGAAGGTCCATCCCACACGAGACTGGCTTGCCCTGGTTATACAGTCTCTGAATGCAACAGTGGGACTTGGAAAACACCCTGTCTGGTGCTGGTGCTCACCTGTGAACATGGCACTGTTCCCATCTCTAAATTCACTCTGTTTCCTTTTCTAGAACCTCTTCTTAATCCTTGGCACCAATGAGAAACACTGGCCTTATCTTGGCCTCCCTCCACTGGGTCTAGTCCACACATTTCATTTCTGTCTTTAGTTCCCACTGTCACTAAGTCTTCTCATTACCAATTCTGGTGACTAAAGGAAACTGTCTTGGAGGTATTTGAAAAGCTAGTCTATAAAATTGGTGTTTCATGAAAAACTCACATATACTATCAGTTGATTTCCAGTCCATTTTTTGTCTCACATTCATTAAAAGCAGGATGACCTGCATTGCTTTTTACTGACTAGTTAACAGAATTTCATGATTATTAAGGACAATAGTGCTTGGTGTGCTAGGATGACCTGCATTGCTTTTTACTGACTAGTTAACAGAATTTCATGATTATTAAGGACGATAGTGCTTGGTGTGCTGTCAGCGATGGAGAAGTTATTTCCCTGTGAATGGAATTTGCAAGTGCGTGGAGTTCTGACTATTGGGGGTTTCTATGCCTTTGCACAGGCACTGGCACCACTCAGGGGTCATTTGTTGCTAATTCCTTGTCTAGTTACCAATATTTACTACAAAGTAAAGAGAGAGGAAAGTCCATCTTTCTTCTCCCTCCAGGAGCAATTGCTGAGCTGCTTATCCTGAGCCTAGCGCACTTGTTATGCTTTTCGGTCCCTGTTTCTGAGCCTACACAGGACCTGGTTGACAAGCCTCTCTGAGATCTGTGGTCCAACCTTCCTGTGGTGCTGGTACCATGAAGTCTGTTTCCATCAAGACCGCTCTCATCTCACCCACAAAGGAATCTCAGTCAGTCCTGTTCTTTCTCTTGAAGCTGCTAAACTCTTGCAATGTCTCCCTACCTCCTCAACCATCTAAATCCTCCTAATTCTCCAAAAACTTTTTCAAATGAGTTTCTCCAGACTCTCTTTTCTGACCTTCCTGCTTGCCTGTCCTTCTACTTTAGATGCTCCCTAGAACCTGAAGCTTCATGGGGAATGTACAAAGAAAGTAAATAGTGACACGGTTTTGGGTTTACTGATCTTCCTGGGTGAGGACCTCTGAATCAGAAGAGAAGAGATGCGTATGAATTGAAGGATGAGGTCAACAGAGCATGGAGCCCTGAGAACATGTGTAGTCCTTCCTCAGAAGGTGAGAGCCTGTAGTTGGACCACTAACCCCATCTAGAGCCACATGGCACCAATTCACCAAGAGCAGTGGGGCTCCCTCTTCTTGTCTGGGTGCACAGCTCTCTTACCCTCTTAGCATATTTTGTACATTGAGTATCACTGCAGCTACTTACACTTTCTTTGTGTGCATGTATGTGTGTACAGATGCACATGTATGTGTAGGTACATGGATGCATGTGTATGTAGAAGCCAGAGGACAACCTCAGCTCTCATTCCCTACTCACAGTCTACCTTATTTTTCTGAGACTCTCACTAACCTGGAATTTGCCAAGTGTTCTAGACTGGCTGGCTTTCAAGTCCCACAGTTCCATCTGTCTCTGCCTCCCGACACTGGGAGTAAAAGCATGTGCCACCACACCTGGCTTTCTTTCATAGGGGTTCAGAGGATCAAACTCAGGTCCTCATGATTGCAAAGCAAATACTTTATCACTTTAGCCATCTTCTCAGCCCCACTTACACTTTCTTTTAAATGGTTCCCACCTCCAACACAGTGAAGAATAGAGAACCCAGAGAGCAAGGAAAGTAAATTAGTGCTCCTCAACTATGCCATTGTTGCAGCCCAGTGCTGAGCCTCAGCAGCAGTATGCTGCTGTGGTGGTTGAATGAGGTGACCCCTGTAAGCTGAAGTATTTGGACACCTGGTCAGTTTGTGGCACTGTTTTGGGAAGGTCACGGAATCCCTAGGAGATGCAGCCTTGCTGGAGAAAGCACATCACTGGGAGCAGGTTTGTGAGTTCAAAGCCACATCCTGTGTCCAGTTCGTCTCTCTGCTTCCTGCGCCTGTTTGAAGACATAAGTGCTCAGCTTTCTGCTCCTGCCGTGGAGCAGCCGTGCTCCAGCTTCTGGCTGTGCCTCCCCTCCATGATGGACTCTCGTCCCTCTCTGGAACCTTAAGCCCAGTGAACCCTTCCTTCTATAAGTGGCCTTGGTCATGATATTTTATCATAGCGACAGAAAAGCACCTAACACAACTGTGAGTGAAAGAAGACTGTAAAAGCTCTGTCTACATCATCCCTTGAGATCCTCAGGATCCCAGCTGAGGAGATGCCAAAAGTGTCATGAAGGAAGTAGAGCCAATTCTGGGCATGTGCTTGGGAAAGCCAAAACTTCTGGACAATTTGAAAAAGAAAAGAGACAGAGAAAAGAGACTATCACATGTACCTGCTGGCTGATTGGTTAGGTGTTTGGTTGGTTTAAAGACAGGGTCTCATGTAGCCCATGCTGGCCTTGACCTCATTATATACTCAAGGAAGAACTTGAACTTCTGATCCTCCTGTCTCTACTTCCTGATTGCTGGCATTACAGACATGCACCACCATGCCCCCCGATCCGGGTATCAAACCCAGTGCATGTTAGGCAAGCACTCCGCCAACTGAACTACAGCCTCAGCTGGGCTTTTCCCCATCTTCTTTATGCCCTTCACCATACGACAGCTCTAGTATATTCTTATAGTTCAAGTGCTCCACAAAAAACCGTTTTTATGCTTAGCTGTACCTCTGAAGGCACAAGCCTTGCTGCCGTTGTGCTTCACCATGCGCTCAATGTCCCCCAGGAGCTTGTCCACCTGGCTCTGCTCCTCCTCCATGGTAGCCTGGTAGTTGAAGGCAGTGTGTCTATTTCCATATTTCTGAGTGATATCACAGATATTATTTTCTTCTATTAATGTATCTAGGTCCTGAGCCACAAAATCTTCTTTTCTGGTAAACAGAATGATAGTGTATTTAGTGAATTCTTCTCCAAAACGTCTTTTGATGATGCTGGATATCTCATTATGGGTCTTCAGCAAAGAACTCAGTGGTGTCACCAGCAGGAAGGCATGGGGACCTGTAGAGGTGTGCTCCTTAAGCCTAGAGTCAGAATCCTTCCACGACAAAATGTCTGGAGAATCAATGATCAGAACTTTCTTCCCTTTCCAGACCCTGCTCTCAGACTGAAAGGTCTGAGTTACTGGCTGCTCACTGAAATCAGTCTTAAAGGCCCGCTTCCCCAGGATTTTGTTTCCTGCTGCACTTTTCCCAACACCACGCTTCCCTATGAGGAGGACCCTCAGTTCTGGTATCTCCTGGTCCTGCTCAGGTCCTGAGGTTTGAAGCTGTCTCTTCTTCAGACCTGTGGGGGCAAAAAAAAAAAAAATTCAATCTTCTCCTGAGCTGAATACAGATATGGACACATTACTTTTTCCCAATAAGGTCTCATCCCACTGACCCTGAAAGACTCTAGCTCCAGGAGCTTGCAATTCAGGTAGAAGACACAAGAAGAAAATGAATGAACTAGGAAGTACCCAGAAGTCTGCGGTTTCCAGGTCAAACATGCTAAATTGGGCTTTCTTTCATCTTTATTCTTCAAAGCTAAGTATTGGGGCATGAGGCCCATGGGCTAAGGTTCTTGGAAGAGGTGAAAATCTGATTTAAAATATCCCCTAATCATACACTCACACAATAAAATACTACTCTGTTTTTATTTAACTGATATACAACATGGATGGAATCATGGATGGAATCATGCTGAGTAGAAGAAGGAGACCCAAGACCTGCATGCAGTGTGACCCCATTACCTGATTTTCAGAACAAGAAAATGATCCACATCCATGGGAATCTGTGGGAGGAGGCTGTAAGAACCCTGTTGTCTGAGGGGAGAGGAACTTAAAAATTTTTGTATTAATATTTTAGTTAATATATAAAATATATGCATGTACATTCATGTATATTACTGCACTATCCACTGTAGGCAATACAGAGAAATAGCCTAGATGTCAATCAATAATCAAATCGATAAGGAGAATGTGGTATGGGACTAAAGAGGTAGCTCAGTTGGTAAAGTATTTGCCTTGAAAGCATGAAGACCTAAGAAAAATTCTCAGAGCCCACACCAGACATGGTGGGGTGCACTTGTAATCACAGTGCTGGGAGGGGGGGACAGGTTATCCCTAAGGCTCTCTGACCAAACAGTCTAGCTGAACAGTGCTGCCCTACTCAAACTAGCTAGAAAATGTAAGAAAACTAGATGTCTGTCAACTGATGAATGAATCATAAAAATAGGGCATGCAATGACATATTACTTAGCTGTAAAGAAAAACAAAACTTACAGGTAAATAGATGAAACTGGAAAAAATCTTAGTGCCAGCCAGGGAGAAATTCTTTTTCAATAAAAGTGGATGGTATATCAAGTGGCACACAAGGTTGTCCTTTGGCCTCCACTTTCGTACACATACACACACTTATGCGTGCACACACATATACACATGCATGTACACACTTACCTGCACATACACATGCATGCACAAACACACACAGATGTGATATATATGCACACAATAGATTTTATTCTGTTGTAAAGAACGAAATTATGTTATTTTCTGGAAAATGGATGGGACTCGAGTACAAAATGACGTATCCTGCTATGTCACCTTAAACAAACTGTTTTCTTGTGAATCTCAGAGCTCACAAGGGTGAAGTGTCCAAGCTGTTGAATGAAGACAACCCTGGTGCTTTGACAGACACAGAGCAGCTATGGAGGGTTCATGGCCAAGGAGGACCTTGAGTCAGGCCTCAAGAGCTTCTCAAGAGCTTCCCACAAGCTGTTCCCCAGACCACACAAAAGGTGCAATATACTTTGTTTTATATAAAGTATCAAAACCCCAGTCAGAATAGCCATCATCAAGAATACAAATGACAACAAATGCTGGTGTGAATGTGGGGAAAGGGAGCACTTATATACTGTTGGTAGGAGTGTAAAATGGTACAACCACCTTGAACATCAATCTGGAGGCTTCTCAGAAAGCTATAAATAAAACTACCATATAAACCAGTGATAGTGCTTCTGAGCATATACCCAAAAGACTACACACGATACTACAGAGATACCCGCACACCCACGTTCATTGAGGCTCTATTCACAGTAGCTAGGAATGGAAGCAACCTAGGTGTCCATCAACTGATAAATGGATGATAAAATGTAGTTCATCTACACCATATTATTCAGTTATAAGAAAAAATGAAAATTAAAGGTAAATAGGTAGAACTGGAAAAATTACACTGAGTATGATAGCCCAGGCCGTGAATGACAGATGCCACATGTTTTCTTTCGTATGGGGGTTCTAGCTTCCGCTCTTCAGTTCTGTTTGTTTAACTTGGAGTACCTGTAGAAGCTAGGGAACTGGAAAGGGTGCCTGGAGTGGGTTTCTATAAGGAAGCAGGGATAGCAGAATACAGGTAAAAGGAAAGTACGGAATAGGAATATTGGGAGTAGAAAGGTTTAAGCAGAGGGGTGGTGGTGTGTGAGGATCGGGGAGATAAGTGGGAAGTGGGAAGATTAACCAAGACAACGTGTATGAAAAAGACACGAGGAAACTCACTATCCTGTAACCCAAATAAAAACCACAATCAAGGAAAAGAGTATCATATTATTTCATTTGGTATGCTTTCCAGTATGGTCCCTTCAACACAGGAGACTCCATACAGTACAGTGGCAGAAGTGGAGTGGAGAAGGGAGACGGCAGCCCCTAACGACGCTGTCTGCTCAGCCTGTCATCCAGTGTCACAGTACAGTAGATACCAGCACTCAAGACCATGACTTCTACAGCGTGTCTGACACAGACAAAAGCAACGATTTCTAAAACATCCCTCTATTAACTGAAAGGACAGCTTCTGCCTCACCTCACTCTCACCATCTCTGGGACAACAAATCTTAAAGCACCTGGCCGTAGAATTACACCACTTCCTATCAACACCTAGTCAAAAGCAAAGTCAGCTTCCTTGAAATCTCCTAACGCAAGCTATAGCTGTCAAAAATTATCTCCAACTGCCTGGTCTGAGATGCTCCCATGCCTTGGATCAATAAGAATGATTTTGTTCAGTCACATGCATCTTCCTGAGGCCTTGGACTAAGGAGCATTGACTGAATTTTGAATACTACAGGGAGTAAAATCATGATATTGATAATAAGATACCTTCATTTCATGGCTGTTATGAGAATAATAACCTTCTTGGATGTTTAACAGCCATACTCTGAGGCCTATATTAATTTGGTCAGAGGGACTTACAGGACAGGTTTTGCTCCTTTCCCTCCAAGGTTGACTAAGTTCCAGGGGACTATGGAGCATCTCTCAAAATGTCCTGTAACTGTGGTGAGTCACCTGTCCTCTTGTTCAGGGAGGCCATGGAGACCCCACCAGATGGCCTTGAACCAGTGTCCAGTCTACAAAGAGGAGGGTCAACTCAGAGGGAACATCTCATTCATGCTTCCAAGTGAAGCCAGTCATGGTCAAGCAGGACCTTTGACTTATCTTCACATAGATGGGACTGGTAAAAGAAAGGAGGCAGGGGCTCCTCCCAAGCCCATGTGATCCCTGAGGAACAGATCCTCAAATGACCTTAGAGTAAAAATAAATTGATTTATTTGGGCCAACCGTATGGCCTTAAACACCCAAAAGGAAAGTATAACCAAAGAGTAAAGTCATCAGTGTATTTCTTTAAGAATTCAAGGGATTATACTTCCCAGACATTAGGCTTAAGTCCATATAAAATGTTATTTAAACAATTATTTCTCATTGATGATTTTGTTTCTAAGCAGAAAGTACTACTCAGTTGCAACACTTCAGATCTTGGTCTCCGATACTGTAGTGCCCACCTGTAGCTAAGGGAGACAACCAGCTATTGTTCTAAAATGATGGCTAAATTTGTTTTCTCCTCCTATCTAGAAGCCTTTGAGAGGGAATTGACACTAATTCTAACTACTCCAACAGTTAATCAATGTGCCTGAAAACAAATCCTGAGTTCATCACTCTCGAGTCCAGCCTGTGTAGACAAAAGAAAAATGAGGAGCAACCCAATGGAGGGATGCTTTTGGAAGCTCCGGTCAAGAAATCCCAATGGACTCTGATATGAACATTTGAAACTTGCTGTTTTGATCTTTTTCTGGTTCCCTGTCTAGAACTTGTAATGTTAATTACTCTTGCCTTTCCTTCTTCACATCCCCTACTCACCAATCAAGGGCTTTCTTTTCTCCCTACAGATAAGAGTTATATAATTTGAGAGTCTTTTAGATAGACCCACTGAAGGGAGTACCCCAATTGCCTCACCCTGTGTCCCTGCAGCATGTAAGAAGCCAGAGTGGTCTGCTTCCAATTCCCTATTGGCAATTTGAGTAACCACTTCAGAGGATGCTGTGACAAGAGTAGGAGGTAGGAACTGGCTAGGCAGTTAGGGTAAAAAGACCCTAAAGAAAAGTAGCCAGTTTCTTGGCTAAAAGTCAAAATATCCTTGGGCGTTCCATTCTCTGTTCCAAAGGCCAAAAATGTCAAAAGTATTTAGGAGCTCTTATCTAATCCCTAACAGATTTTAGGGTTACCTCTTCAGAGGGGGAAATATTAAAGTAGCAAAAAGCCCCATTACAAAATAAAGAGTACATGAAGTGGTCAGAAAAAAGTGATGGGGAGATATGGAAGGAGTTGGAGGGGAGAAAGTAGGCGTGGATTTGATCAAAACAGCTTATATGCATGTATGAAATTCTCAATACATTCTAAAAAAAACTTTTAAAAATTTATTTTTATTTTATGTGTATTCATGTATTGCCTGAATGTAGGTAAGGGCGTCCATGTTGTGCCATGCCTGCAGAGGTCAGAAGAGGCTGTCAAATCCCCTGGGACTGGAGTTATGGGCAGTTGTTAGCTACCATGTGGGTGCTGGGATTCAAACCCCAGTCTTCTTCGAGAACAGTCCATGTTCTTAACCTCTGAGCCATCTCTCCAGTCCCCTCAATATAAACTTTAAAAGTTAAAGAAAAGATGTGTGTGTGTGTGTTTAGCCTTCCATTGCCACTACTATGCCCACCAATATATTATACACTGTAATATAATGTATAAATAACTTTGTATGCTATGAGGAATAAAGTATTTGTATTTTATTTTCCACCAGACAATGTCAGCTTCAATTACTGCTATTATTATCAAATTTAGTAAATTTCTAAAATAACTATTGTATCATTTTGGGGCATTTCATGAAGACAGGGACTCTATATTATTATTAACTACAGAATTCTCAATTTCCACACAGCATTGGCCCAGAAATAGCCTTAAAGTACATCAATGTTTGCACAAGCCCTGTGTGTTCATGTTATGGGAACACGCCATTTATTAATGTGTACTGACTTGTTTAGTTTTGTGGGACACAACGTTAATGGTGATCAGTACCTGGATGCTACTCATTGGTGCTGTCCATGAGGGGTGTATTCTGCTTTCCCATCAGGAGCACTGAACCCAGGACCGGGAAGAAGAAGCTGAGTTAGGAAAGAAGTCCTGGGGGGCGGGGCGAGCCTGGCTCCACAGCATGGCAGAGGAGGCCGGGGACACCAGACGCCCAGGGCTGCGGCTCTGCTTCACTGACTCACAGATGTTAGGATTCTCCTGGGCACAGGTGTGGGTGCCCACCCAGGCTAAGGTATATTTTGGTCTGATCCATATAATTTCTGCCACTTCACTTGGGATGTGCAGTGCATTAAGAGGATGCACGCGGTCGACTTACCATGTAGGCTGTTCCCTTCTTGTTGTGCGGCTCCATTCCCATCATCCTAGAAAATAAGGGGGGGCGGGGAGAGAATGGTGCATACAGAACTAAAATATCAGCTTTTCACAAAATAAACAATGGAGACACTGTTATATAACGCTGAGTGTCTGCTGGTTAGGATGAGGTCAAGTCTAGGCCACGGTCACGATCCTCACTAACATTTGTGCACATATCAAGAAAGACAGATCCCCTGATCTCACTGCTGCTCCTGCAACAGATTCCCAGGGATGGAGACAGCTCCAGCGCAGAGATGGCGCCTCTGATATGAGGTTACACTGAGAATACCCAATCAGGTAAGGAAAACAAAGCAGAGAACTAACATCCTCTTCTCCTTGCTGTGCCAGTATCCTTACTCCTAAAATGAGAACAATAATCTGCAGTTCCGATGATCTGGTGTTCATAGAAATTTCCTTCACTTCTTTCTGACCTTATCTCCGTTGACTCATCATGACAACCAAGACAGCCTCTCTGTTCTTTCTTATCTGTTCTCACCCAGTGTCTTTGTTACCTTTGAGGCTCTTAGATCTCTCTCCACCTACACCTGATTTCCTAGGGTTCTTTATGTGCAAAACATTATTTCAATATAAATATGCATGATAAAATGATATAAAAATAATCTTCCCATGTGTAACCAACCAGAAAAGTGACAGTTATTAACTCATAAAGAAGCTTATGTGTTTCAATATGCTTATACAGATATGCATACATGTCTATGAGCATAGGAGAGACTCACTGGGTTTCTTGTTCAGAAATCTGTTTGATATTGTATCCTGAGTGATATGTTAGTGTCTGCACAGCTGCCTCATCCTTTTTAGTAGATCCAATGTATTCACTAGTAAGAACTGGTTATTGGTGTCAAGGTGATAGTGATGGGTCTTCATGTTATTTATGGTTTTACTGTTTCAAAAGGTGCTGAGATAGCACATGTTTCTAATACAAATGTTTTCTTTGGGCTTCTAAAGTACTTAATATCTTTGTATACTCATGCATGGCAAAATAATATAACAGCTAATGATTACTGAACAATGGACAAGTCTCCAGTATTTGTTAACAACTTTGTAAGCATCGTATTTAATCCCCACAGCAGTTCCTCAGTGTATATTACTATCTCTCTTCTCCACAAGACATAAAACAATGTAGTTAACAAAACAGACATTTCTGTCCTCATGGAGTTTGTGGGGAGCCAGCCATTGTCTACTTATCCACAGGAATCCCTTAATGTGGTGGTGACTGACTAAAGGGATCTGGGTGGGCAGAGAAGTTGGGAGCCATGCCTGAATCTGAGTCAAGGGCCCAGGGAGATGGAGGAGGTGAGTTGAAGCTGAGGCTGATGGATAAACAGAGAAGACACAGGGGGAGGGGGAGGGAGGGAGGAAGCACCAATGTGGAGAGAACTGTAGGTGCACAGTGCCAGCATAACTCAGGGACCAACAGGAAGGCTGGTGAGCACAGGAAACAGGGCGCAGAGCAAGGGGCCACGCTGAGTCAAGATCAGGACAAAGTCTGAAGCATTTTGAGCAAGATGTCCTCATGGGAAGCACATTCTGAGCCCCGGCCAGATGCTGACCCTCTCACCAGCCAATTTCCTCATCTGTAAAACACCTTCACAAGGAAGTGGTGCAAAGACTTGTCATGTGGGCGTCTGACGTTTAAGGTGTGCTCTGTGAGCGCTGCTTTCCTGCTTACACTTCCTTACTTTATCAGTCGTTAGTCCTGGCAGCGTCTCTCTTACCACATCTTTCCAGGGCTTCCCTACGTCTGACCCCTCTCGACTGACATCCACCTGCTCATTCAAGTTTGTAGGTGACTGAATTCTAGAACGTCTCACTCAGTCGCAGTGGCAGAACTTCACAGGACGTGTGCGTTTCTTTAACTGACGTGATTTCAAATACATTTTCCTTTCATGTTAAAGAATTAAATGCAATTAACATCTGGCTGTTGTATGTGAGGTGGGGTGGGTGATCAGGCTCCCAAATGAACAAGGGGAAAGTTGTTACTAGGTAAAAACAGTCCAAGGGGGAAAGGTGCTGAGTCAGGCTGGACGGTGGCAGCAGGAAAGTTAAGAAGCAGGTGGATTCCAGGAAGAGTGACCTCCTAAAACGAAGCGGAAACAGGGTAAAGCGTCAGACCTAGCACGGCACAGCTGGGCTAAGACCACTGAAGGCTAGGGAGAAAAGACAGAGCTCAAAGCCACAGTGGGGGATCCTGTGGGAAGAGCAGGAAGAAGAAGAGAGCCCAAACTGTGTGAGGAGAAAACACTAGAGGCCAGAGATGGAAGAGAACTCCACAGCCTTTGGAACAGGCAGAGAGAGAGAGAGCGGGCAAAGCAAGGGGCAGGTGGTTTTCATTGAAGGGAGGGAAGAGAGACTCTACAGACTCTCACCTGTATAATAACACGAGGGGACAAGGGAGGCAAGGGCTTCATTTCCCCACTAACTTTCCAGGAAGTCCAACCACCCAGGCTGATACTGAAAGTCCAATCTCTTATGACTCCAGAGTATGTATACACATCGCCCTCAACAAAGCATATGTTCCATTGCACAGCGGGATAGTCTATTGATTTGTGTTGATATGTGTCTCCTCCACTAGACAATTCCTACCTGGAATCTGCTGCTGTCCATTGTAATCCTCATAAAATATGGTCCAGGACTTTTCTCCATCAGACGCTCAATCACATGAAGGAGCTGGGACACGGAGTCCTGGTGCTTCTGGTCTACCTTGTTGTTGAACGCACAGTATCTGCCCTCAACTCTTTGAACCAAGGCCTTAAGAGAGTTAGTACTTTCTATGTAATCCTGCAGCGAGTCCTCACCCAGCTCATCTTCCCGAGTGAAGACAACAACCACGTGTCTGAAGGCTTCAGGCCCAAACCTCACCCGGATGCCCTCAATGATCTCCTCGTCCTTCGCTGTGTAGTGGCCAATGGGGATGATGAGGAGCAGCGCATGGGGGTCAGGGTCCGAGAGCTGTGAGCACTGCTGCAGGCCGAGCTGCCTGACGTCAGCAGGGACTAGGGAGGAGAAAAGGTCCGGAGTGTCGATGACCATGACCATCCTCCCTCCCACGATCGCGCTCTCGGTCTGGCATGCTTTGGTCACCGTCTGCTCACTGAACTTGGACTCAAACACAGTTTTGCCCAGAATGGTGTTTCCTGTGGCACTTTTCCCTGCTCCTCGTTTCCCCAGCAGGAGCAGCCGCAGTGCGGACGGTGACTGGCCTTGCTTGGACTCGCCCTCCTGGCTCCAGCTGGTGCTGTTGAGATAAGAAATAGCGCATCAGTGCTGCATGGGGGACAAGTGGGGATGGGGATGGGAAGAAAGCTCATTGTTCCCCAAAGTATTTAAACTGCTGTGCCAGGGAGACAGCATGGTCTGAAAGTGCCTGTTTCCAGGTGTGAGGACGTTGAGTTCAATGGTGGCACAGGCTTTCGATCACAGTGATTGTGAGAGGGGAGCAGAGACAGGAGATCCCTGGAGCTCACTGGTCAGCTAGCCTTGCCTACTCGGTTAAATTCCTGACTACCAAGAGACCGTCTCAAATGATGGAAGATGCCTGAGGAAAGACCTATATGGAAATGTTCACATGAACACTTGCACACACACATACTCCCACACGGAGGAACACACACACATGTACACACATACACACAAAGAATTTATGCCGCTGAAGTATTAGCATAGGCCTGGAATGTCCCCAGAGTCTTCCTGTGTTCCTTTCTCAGAAGTAAAGCCAGAGTTTGTTTTCAGTCTTTTGAAGAATTTTGACCAGCGGGAGCCACGGAGTCAATAGTGAACACCATGGTAAGCAGACAGCTTTTAAGTAGGGGAATCTCATAACTAATAGCCACCATCAGATGCTAGAAATACATGTATCAGAGCTGAGGGAGGAACACTTGCCTAGCATTCCTGGAGCCCTGGGTTCAATCTCCAGCACTATTAATTAATCACAAACACAAATTTATGGAAACTTGCCAAACCAGGATCTCAGAGGAGAAACCCTAGAAATCTGTATTTATTAATACTAAGTGATAGTGACTAGCCATATTTGGGAAGCACTGCCCTATAAAATAACAAAGCAGTCATATCTACAGCTCATCTGTAAAGGTGATGTGAGGTATGCATGGGACTCTGAAAACAGGGTCCCAGCAGACAGGCTCAAAAGCATCCATGTGGGGGACTCACGAGTCCTATGTGACAGAGGGGCATCAGGTGTTAATGGAGATCACGGGCTCAGAGTCCAGCCTTGTTCACCTGCTCCGTTGCTCACTAGCTCAGCTCTCAAGTTTGCTTAGCCAGTGCCAGGGCCTAGAGCCCTAGAGGGTAATTTAGTTGACTAGAATGTGTGATTTCCTGAAATCAATCTCCAGCACCAGGAAAATGGCTGTGGGGGTCCACGTCTGTGCTTGTACTTGGGAGGTAGAGGAAGGAGGATCAGAAATTCAAGGTCATCATCAACTCCATAGTGAGTTTGAGGCTAACCTTGGATACATAAGATTCTGGAGAGAGAGAGAGAGAGAGAGAGAGAGAGAGAGAGAGAGAGAGAGAGACAGAGACAGAGAGACAGAGAGAGAGAGAGACAGAGAGAGAGACAGAGAGAGAGACAGAGAGAGAGACAGAGAGAGACAGAGAGAGAGAGAGAGGAACTAAAACACATTGCTTAACCATTCTGAGCCTTGATGTCCTCATTTATAGGTCGAAAATGACATCTTCTACTTTGAAGACACTTTTATGACTCAAATAAGATGGTATGCATGAAAATCTCTTGCCAACAAGGTGTAAGAAAAATGCCCAACATTGTTGGCTGATTATCAGGAAAATGTAATTCAAAACCACAAGGAGGCATCCATTCATTCTTTGAGAAGGATCACTGTCAAATGACAAGTGGAGATGAGGACGTGAAGAAAAGAGAACTTTGCACCCTGTTGGTGGGAAAGTAAACGAATGTAGTCAGTAGGGAAGAAAAAATTAAAAACAAAGCTGTCATATGATCCACTAATCCCAACACTGTGCCTATCAAGGGAAATGAAATCAGCTTTTCAGAGATGACTACACACCCATGGTTATTGCACGATAGCTAAGAAATGGAAGCACCCTAAGTGCCATCAACTGATGAATGATAAAGAAAACGTGATGTGTATAGAAAACAGAGTGCTATTTGACCATAACGACAGAACGGAACCCTGTCATTTGCAACAGCATAGATGAAACAGGAGCTCATTAAGTTACTTAAGTGAAATAATTCAGACTCAGAAAGATAAACACTGCATGATCTCACTCGTAGATGAAGTAAAAAATAGTGATTTCATAGAAGTCGGACATAGAAAGGAGGTTCCTAGAAGCCGGCGGGAAGGGTTGGGGAAGCATGATCGCCGAGTGCCACTGCAGTTAGGTGGGAATGGGAAGTTCCAGTGAGGGGCCGCTGTGGAGAGCCATCATGTGCTATGGGATTCAGAGAGCTGAAAGAGAATTCCAAAGGGCTTCACCACAGAAAGATGAGAAAGAACTGAGGAGATAGATATGCAGATATGTTTAGCATGATTTGAATGTTATTCAGTGTCTATAGGTATCACGATATCACATAGTGTGTTATTAATATATACAATTTATATATATTTCAAGTAAAATAACCTCAATTTAACTCGAGAATTGTATTGCCTCCTGAGCTTCTATTTTTTGTCACAGGCCAAACTCTCACTGTCTGTTTCCAGCCCGCATGTTCAGCTACATCTATACTATTTTCCCAAACACAGTGTGTGCCAGTCAGATAACCTGCTCTGTATTTCTTCATTGATTCATACCCAACCTTGTTTGACCTATGTTTGAATCTGACTTGCTTAACTGTCCAACCCTCCTATCTTGCGCATTTTCTTCTAGATTCCCCAAGCATCCTCGGCCCTCGGATCAAGGCAGAGGTTGGGGAGGTTGTCCAACCCTCCTATCTTGCGCATTTTCTTCTAGATTCCCCAAGCATCCTCAGCCCTCGGGGTTGGGGAGGCCCTGGAGAACTCGAGGCCACACAGAAGCTCTACAACAATGGCTCTGTTCTGCCAGAATCGCAGGTTTGCCCATCGGAACTCATCAGTCATTGGTAGACCCCAAACTGGTCTGCACCTCGGAACCCGTGTCCTCCCTTCGAATACTTAGCTTCTGGTGGTGTTCTTGTTACTGCCCTCTGTTCCTTACAGTGTACACAAATAATAATAAATAAATATTTCCTTTCTGAGGCTATAAACCTGTCCAAGATACCCTCCCCTGTGGCATCTCCTGGTACAGACCTACAGGAGAGATATTCTTTCCATGAAGTCCCCACAGTGCCCTCTTAGGTGATCAGTCCTCCAGGCCCACAATGAAGTCTGAATGCTCCCTTTGGCATCAAGGACTCTTGTCTTGCCCTTGGTAGGCCTCCTCCCACCAGGGCTGCTCTCAAATCCTTTCCATCATTTGTAATAATTTATGTGTACGAATGTATTGCCTGCATGTATGTGAGTGCACCCGTGTCGTTAAATAACAATATTTTTAAAAAGGAAAATCAAAGAAATCGAACAACGTCAGTAAATGGCAGACATGGAGCAGGCAGGTGGAAGCAGGTGATGCAGGTGAGGCTGTTTACGAGGGCACTGTGGGGGCTTCATGGAGAGAGCATCTCTCCTGTAGGTCTGTGCAGGGAGATGCCACAGGCGAGGGTATCAGGGACAGATTTGCAGCCTCAGAAGCTACGTGCTTATTTATTATTATTTAGAAAGGAAACATGTTTATTGTGGACCCTGCAAGGGGCAGTGGCCGGGCAGTAACAAGAACACCACCAGAAGCTAAGTATTCGAAGGGAGGACACGGGTTCCGAGGTGCAGACCAGTTTGGGGTCTACCAATGACTGATGAGTTCCAATGGGCAAACCTGTGATTCTGCCAGTACACAGTCATCGCTGTAGAGCTTCTGCATGGCCTCGAGTTCTCCAGGGCCTCCCCAACCCCTGCCTTGATTTGAGGGCAGAGGATGCTTGGGGAATCTAGAAGAAAATGTGCAAGGTAAGAGGGTTGAACAGTTAAGCAAGTCAGATCCAAACGTAGGCCATAGACGATGGAGTGTGAATGAATGAATGAATGAATACAGAGTAGGACAGAGTCATGGGAGCCCGGAGAGGAAACAGTCTTTGGGCACAGTCTGGTGCACCTCACAGAAGCTGTCCCACGGTGGTGACAGAAGATGCTGTCAATCACGGTGGCCTTGACACTCTGGTCACTTAGTGCCATAATCTCTTCATCTTCCACATCTTCATCTCCCTCATTGTTTCTCTCTCTCTCTCTCTCTCTCTCTCTCTCTCTCTCTCTCTCTCCTCTCTTTCTCTCTTTCTTTCCAAGACAGGGTCTAATGTACCTCAGGCTGACCTCAAACTTACTATGTAGCCAAGGATGACCTTGAACTCCTGATCCTCCTGCCTCACCTTCCCAGTGCTGGGAGTGTAGGTGTGTGCCACCAAGCATAGCATAGAACCATGGGCCTCAGATGTGCTAGGCATGCACTGTACTAAGCCTCGTTCTCAGACCTCCCCCCCCCTTTTGTAATGGCAACATAACTGACCTTTATTCTTTCAGATTGGCAAATAAAATAAATTTAAAACTGAATAAAATGGGAAATAATTTAAATTATTTAAAAACATGTCTTTGAAATGGCAAAATCCAATTTCTCATTAGGTTATCACAAGACTCTCCTATGCAGGAAAAATTTATCGCAGCAAATGAATTCATTTAATAAAATGAGCTAAAGTGCTCATTACACTTTGGATTTCTTTTGTGTTAATAGTTGTGAGCATAATCAAGAAAAAAGAAGTTTTAATGATTAGATAGATAAATTATTCTCTATGAAATGTCCTCAACTCACTGCTAAGCATTTTTGTCACTGACAGAGACAAGGCAAGACAAAAGTGACACAGGAGCCAGGCGTGGTGGTGCAGGCCTTTAATCTCAGCACTTGGGAGGCAAAGGCAGGTGGATCTCTATGAGTTCAAGTCCCTTTTAGTCCAGACCATAACGTTTGTCAGTTACTCTAGAGGACTTGGCACATTCAGAAAACCTAAAGAGAAAAGCAAAATCCTCACGTGCTCATCTCAGAAGTAGCTGTGGCTAAACATGTGCTTGTTTCATACTGAGTCACACGTCATTCAGCAATGACTGGTCTCATTAGTGTTTTCCTTCAGCAACATGTTCTCCAAAGGTAATTTGGAGAATGAAGGAAAAAATGAACAAAAATTTAAAAAGCAACCTTCTACTTACATAGAGTTAGCCAAGTTTGTGGTGTTTTTATTGTGCGGGAATTGGTACCTGCAGTTTCTCTTGTGGTACTTAGAGAAGGTATGCGGCCTCAGGAATCCACATGATCATGTTATCTTCCATAGGAGTTGCTCCCCACGTCCAAGCCAGCGGGTGTCTGGCTTCCTTGAGACCTGCTGCTTGCGCAGAGCCCAGGGAAGCTGAGGAGTGAGGCCTGTTGCAGGTACGAGGCCCACACTCCCACTCTCCTCAAACCATCATACATACATAAGGATTGTTCTGCAACCTTTAGAGTTAGTGTTGCCTGTTGGATTTGGGTTGTTTCCTTTTGCTTGTTTGTTTTGAGACAGTGTCTCACTGTGTAGCTATGGCTGCCCTGGAATTTGCTATATAGACCAGGCGGGCCTCAAACTCAGAGATCTACCAGCCTGTGCTTCTCAAGTGCTGGGGTGAGAGGTGTGCACCACCCCTCCCAGCCTGCCTGTTGGGTTTCGAACTATCTTGGGGCCCATTATCCTTTCTTTGGCCTCTTTATCCCATTTAAAACGAGGTCTGCCCTGTGTCTTTCCCACCATAATGCTTTGGAAGGACTTGTTTTTATTTCCTAGGTTCTCAGCTGGGGGGAGTGGTGGGGAGATTTCCTCAGAACAAGTCCTGCCTAGAGTTTCACCCACGTCTGAGTTAGATGAGAATAATGAAGTTTGGGCTTTTGAGCTGATCCTGGAACAAAGTATTAAGACTTTGGGGGCTATGGGGATAAAATGAGTACATTCTGCATATAAAAAGGCATGCATATGGGGGGCTAGAGGTGAAGTGTTATGGATTGAATGCATGCCCCAAAGTTAGAGACACCTTTCTCCATTCATCAGCGTTGGAGGTGGGGCCTCAGAAGAGGTGATCAGGGCATGAGGACTCTGCACTCACGAGTAGATCAATGCCATGTTCGTGGAAGAGCGCTCTGCATTATGAGAATGAGAGCAAACTGTCATAAATGTGCGTTTGCTCTCCTTCTGCCTCTCAGGGACCCTCTTTCCCACGTGCCTTCCACCGCGGTTTACCATGGAGCAAAGACCTCTGCCAGATGTGGACCCCTTGATTTTGGACTTCCCAGACTCAGGTCTATCTATCATCTGTCTATCTATCTATCTATCTATCTATCTATCTATCTATCTATCTATCTTCTATCTATCACCTGTCATCTATCATCTATCTATCATTTATCTATCTATCATTTATCTATCTATCTATCTATCACCTGTCATCTATCATCTATCTATCATCTATCTATCTATCTATCATTTATCAATCAATCACCTATCTATCATATCTATCATCTACCTATCATCTATCATCTATCTATCATTTATCTATCTATCTATCTATCACCTGTCATCTATCCTCTATCTATCATCTATCTATCTATCTATCATCTATCTATCAATCACCTATCTATCATCTACCTATCATCTATCATCTATGTATCATCTATCTATCTATCTATCATCTATCTATCATCTATCATCATCATCACTTTCTTCAATTAGCACAAAATTCACTGAGATCATTCACCAGGCCATAAAGTTGCATGCTAAACCAGCACATGATCTTCACAAAAAAAGTACTGCACGTGTGATCAGAAGGCATAAGGAAGTAGAGGTGAGCAGTCAAAACACCTTCCTCCCGCTCCAGTGCGGCTCCCTATGCCTGTATCTGTGCTCTTGAAGCTGTCTCCGCCATCAGTGACAGAGCAAAGGAAGACACATTTTTAGACGATTCTGCACAAGATTTAGACAGCCCCAGCAGAGGAAAGAGATGGCCCTGTGGCCCTAATCTGGCCCTGAATGGCAGTAGTGAAGGGACATCCTCTCCACAGGACTCTTTGAGCGGTGCACCTGCTTGCTCATTTACTAGAAGAACTGGCCAGATATCCAGCCATTACCAACTCCTTAGCTCTCCCAGTGGCTTGGCTGGATGGTGAGAACATGGAAGGAGCATGATTAGAAAATTAGTGACAAGGAACACTGAAAAAGGAGTGTGGACAGATGCTTCAGAATGAGTTTAAAAAATCAGGAAGGCATTTGTGTGCCATTGGGATATTCACCAAAAAGTGACTTCAGCAAGGAAGATTTTAATCTTCAAGCTGACAGGATGATAAATTCTTTTGGTACCTGTTGGCTTCTTCTCCTGAACACCTGAGTATCATCAATGGGCCCATGTACAAAATGCACCGCAGTGGCAGGAACGCAGATTATACATGGACCCACTAACATGGCAGTATATGGTGCCATCTGTCCTTAGCCGGAATTCATGTGTTGGGAATCATGGGTAGAAATCAAGTGGGAATGGCACTGCTCAGCATCAAAAAAAGGTTCACTACCAGCCCCCAAGACCTTACACTCTGCTGGAATAGAGGTCTTCATTACAGAGAGCAGAACGCTTCCACCAAGAGACAATCACCCCCAGCGCCGAGCTGTGGGTTAGGACCAGAGATGCCCCTACCCTGGGACCTTCTCAGGATGCAGCCCAAGTGGAACATGGGTTCAGGCATTGGAAAAAGCTTCCTGTGACACAGAAATTTGTCCCACATCCAGGGGCAATTGGTCACAGAGAAAGGTGGTCAGACAGATCTCCAGTGCCTAGCACGGTCTTCATTACAGAGAGCAGAACGCTTCCACCAAGAGACAATCACCCCCAGCGCCGAGCTGTGGGTTAGGACCAGAGATGCCCCTACCCTGGGACCTTCTCAGGATGCAGCCCAAGTGGAACATGGGTTCAGGCATTGGAAAAAGCTTCCTGTGACACAGGAATTTGTCCCACATCCAGGAGCAATTGGTCACAGAGAAAGGTGGTCAGACAGATCTCCAGTGCCTAGCAGGGGGAAGATTTTAGTCTAAGACAGTGAGTCAGTCAGCACGAGGAAGGGAAGGGTTAACAGTGATAGCCAGGCTGCCTCAAATGTAGATAAAGTCAGAACTAGTATTTTCCATAAAATACCGACCACCTTCCACACATGGTTAACTGGACCTCTCTTGGCAAAGACCTGGAAATATCAGCAGAGTGGACGTGGAGCACAGACCCTGTGCCTCGCTTCTCCAGGAGAACAGCAGCCCCAACAGCACCCACCACCTTCCTCCTGGGGGCTGCTCTGTGGCTCTAAGGAGTCCTGAGGAGCTGCCCTTTCTGTTCTTGCTTCTCTCCATCCACGTTTTCTTCCTCTTTCTCCTCTGGACAGAGCCCAACCCCCCTGACCTCCTCGTAGGAATTGGCTCTACATCTGCCTCAGGATGTATACCCTGCACTCCTCCTACTGGGTATCATTGGGGTGGCACAAGTTGGACCAGGAGGAATCCTAAAGCTCTTGAAATCAAACCCAGCACAGGGCAGGTTGCCTTCAACGGGGCAAACCCAACACTCCCCCCCTACAAGTATGCAAGAGTGCACACGTGTAGACACATACAACACACATATCTTAAACGTACCTCGGTCCTGCCTCCTGGCCTCTTGAGGTCACAAAGTCTCTGTGCTCCACCGGGCTACATCTGTCTGTTTTTGGCTTGGGAGAAGCAGCCATCACTGTCTTCAGGCCAGTGGAAGGTGAATCTTGAGGCCAGGAGCTGCGTAAAAACAGTAGAGGATTGACCAGTTTTCTGGGACCCTAATCACCCAGCAGAAGGATTTCCAAGTATTCCTGGGAACACCATGTGGCAGAAAGCTGCGGGAGCACAGGCAGGCCACACAGCTGGGCACCAAAGTGGCCAGCTCAGCTCGGGTCAGGTGAGTTCCCAGCAGCACAGACATCAGAAGTTTAGAGCTAAGCTAGTTTTGGGATGACTCCTAGCAGGTTTTCCTTCCCCTATTCGTCCCCACCACCAACTCGTTCTGCTTGGACTACTCCCAAGATATAAATAGAAGTAACAGCGAGGTGGAGGTGGGTATGGGGGAGGGGTCTGAATGTGGCCAAATTACACTATTTGTGCTATGGCCTGTTTTCTCTCTCTCTCTCTCTCTCTCTCTCTCTCTCTCTCTCTCTCAATAAATATAATTTGCTTACTTCCATAAGGTAGTGCTTCCTTTTAGTTAACTATAAGCTTTTTCCCAACTAGCAAAACACAAAAATGCTTGAAACCTGGTGTTTTCAAGTGACTCACAAAACGAAGCCACTGTTCCGAGAGTTCACTGTGTCTCAGCAGCCCTGACCTGAAGAACTAGAGCCCTGAGGACACCGTTTTCTACCTAACTTTACTAAGAATACATATCATTAGAGTTGCTGTCTGCTTCACGACTGGTGCACAGTGTACCAGTGGTCAGCACAATCCACACAGTCGTTCACAGAGCTCTGTCACCCCGAAACACCAGATCTCTACACCCACTGACCTCCGACTCCACCCCGTCTTCGTCCCTGGTAACCCCCTCTCTGCTTTCTGTTTCTGAGACATTTTGTGACCCCAGACACTTCACAAGAGTGGGCTCACAGGGCACCTGCCCTCGTGTGACTGGCTTATTTGCTAAGCATCCTGTCCCGCAGCGTCACCCACAGAAGCCACCCATTTCCTCAGGATTGTCCCCACAGGATGCCAGTGATTACCTGAACTTGACTCACGGTAACTGTAAGCGTCTGAGGTTGGGTTGAGCCTTCCAAAGGGGCCCCTCAGAAGGAGGAGCAGCGAGGGACGGGCAGATAAGAGGTCTCTAAAGTGTTGGAAGTCACAGGTTTTGGGGTGTCACCTTTGCTGAACTGTTTTTCACACACTGGCCTCAAGGCTCCTTTTCTTGTGACTTTACCACCAAGGATGGTGGGGCACACCTTTTGTCTTACCACCTGGGAGGCAGAGGCAGGGGGATCTCTGTGAGTTCCAGGCCAACATGGTCTACATAGAAAGCTCTGGATCAGCCAGGACTACACAGTGAAACTCTGTCTCAAAAATCAATAATCAATCAAACAACAACAAAAATCTTGTGAACCCGAAGGAAAGCCTGGTCAGGCTGGGGTTTTAGAGTCCCGGGTGCTTCATCTCCACAGTGAAGAAGGATCGTTCTAAGAACACTTCCCACCTTCCCTCAGTCAATGAGCAGAAAAACAACTCACTAAAATGAAGAAAACCCACCAGAGCAAGTTGTGAAGGTCCTGTCTATTTAACAGCAAGGTCCTGCTGTTAAAACAGGGAAGTCAGTAAAGTGGGGTGAGAAAAACGTTCTTCAGTAAAACACTAAGCATTGGGTGAGTAGTCCGAGTAAAATCAAAGCTTCCACTAACTCTTCAGTGGTTTAGTGAATGATAACTTTCTGAGTTGACCTTTTTGCATAATGATCTTTCAGCAAATTACAATGATTTTTGCCTCCTGTGTAAAGGCTGCCTGGATTCTACTTTGATTTCAAAGGATGGTGGGTCCCTGCCCCCCTAGTGGTTGTCTGAGTAACGGCAGGCGGAGCGGACTGGTGGCCCTTCTTCCCACTCTCTCCCAAGCTCTAAGCAGGAACAAGAAGGGAGACTGGTCCTCCAGAAATTGCACGACCTGGAAGACATTGTTGATAAAGCAAGGAGAAGTCTACCAGGACCAGGCTCCACATTAAACACAGGCTCGATTATCAGGAAGCGCACAGTCTAAGGACAGGGGAAGCAACCAAGCTTGCAATTAGGAACTAGTAAACTTGCTGTGTACAGTGTGCCGTGTATAGAGGGATGTGTGCCCTGGGACCCATGGGGGAGGTGCAAACAAAGCCTTCACTCTGGTGCTTGTGGCCCTCTGAAGAGCAGCCAGTGGGCAACTGCAGATCTCTGGGTCGGGTAGCCACTGGACTTAGATTCTGGACCACCCTTGCTGAAGAGTTACTTTCCGTCCATTGTGGAAAGCCTCACTTCCCATTTGCAGTTGACTGACCTCGGGTCAAGGCCAAGGCCACATTTTGGAGGACCCTGGAGGTAATGAGAAAAGGACGGCCCACTGTAGTTTCCAAGAGTAAGAGGCTGCTGCCCTTCCTTCTGGGACATGTCTCATTTGGTGTGTGGTGTTGAAACAGAACAGCTCACCAGAGGGGAGTTCACATGTATTATGAGGACCTCCTCCCCCC